CCTTAATTTTGTTTGTTTCGATTCGGTGTTTATTCATGAATTCGACGAAAGTAGAGTACGATTCGTGATTTAGGGTTAATGATTTGATTGATACTTTCATGAACATTGGGCTAATTTTAGCTAAAATCAATTCCGCAGAAAGATTTCGAACTCGTATTCTTTAAATTTCGCAAGTTTTTATTCTTGATTTTAATGGGTCCAGCATTTTGATTATTATTGAGGAACCTAAGCTTGAGAGCTGCAACAAGATATGGTACAATGATTTTGACAACTTTTAATGAAGCTTGGGTAGCTCCAGGATCTGTTATAGATCTCTTCGAGAGAGTTTTGGAATTGGTGAAGGAACAAGCAAGCTTTTGGATTGTTTGATGATAATTGCTTTGGATGCTATAAATCATCCGTTGCCGTGAATTGCATAAGCATTGCTTCAGTCTCGAAACAGGAGGAGTTGATTTCTCCGGCAAAGCTTATTTCATGACTCGTTCTTACTTGAAGATGGTGTGGAGAAGAATTTATTTATTGCGATCTGTTCTTGAACTGGGTTTCAATTTTTTTTTCCAAGATCTGTGCTATAGATCTTTTCATGATGTTTTTTTATTTAAATAAATGTTTTATTATTTCGTTTAGTAACACATGTTTTAGACACGTTTAAAAAAAAAAAAAGTAAAACGGAGTTATCTGATATTCAACGAAGTTATTTGTTTACTATTTTGTTTAAAATTTTGAATGCGTGATAAAAATGTATGTGAGAGGTTTATATTGTGAATAATGACCCTTAGAGATTTAAAGTGTTAGTGATAAAATTTGGAGGTTTAAAATGTTAGTGCGTGCTATTTTCAAAGTTTTTTATGCGATATTTTCATTGATTTATTATTGGTTGAATTGAGTTTAATAAGATGAGAAATAGTGTTTGAATTTAGAAAAAAATAAAAAATATAATGTTTTCTTAATTTATGTGTAAAATTCTTAAAAATCAAGTATTATGTGTTAATTAACGAAAAACATTCTACATTGCATGCAAATTATTGTGTTACCACATTTTATCAA